TATATATAGAGAGAGAGAGAGAGAGAGAGAGAGAGATAAATGAAACCAAATGGAGTATAATTCTACTGTACGTAACATTTAATTTAAAAGAGGGTTCAATACAGAGTAGAGGTAAATATTACTTATTTTAGGATATTAAAACAAAACCATATTTAAAATCGCTACACAATTACAATTGTGTTTCGACACTAAAAATATGTCTCCTCGGGTGATGGCAATTACTGTGAAGTGTACGATTAATTTAATTTCAAAAGCAGACAGAATACTTGCTATTTTTTCTCTAGAAAAGTCAGAATAATAATAGTCTTGTGGGCTTTACTGTGATTAACGAATCGAATGTGACCTACTATTATATACATATATATATATATATATATATATATATATATATATATATATATATATATAAGTAATTATACTCGTCTGACGATCCCCGTAGGTGAAACCTAGGTAGGTCTGCCTGGCTTTCTAGGTTCATATCAATATATATATATATATATATATATATATATATCATTCCAATGTCATTTAAAAGGAAACAACTCTCAATAGCTCATGTTACGGAAATTTTTGAATCGCAAGTTTTCATTACTGCGGTTGTTTCCGATGATTTCTTAACTAATTTTTTGCGGTGGATTTTTTTGTGGAATAACAATTTTGAGAACTTGGAAATATATTTGGGAATAATTGAAATTTATTGCGAAATCCGCCGAAAGTCACCCATGAAATAAAGATAACTGTCTGTGCGAAAAATAAGGACCTACGCTCATCAAATTTATGCTTGAATCAAATGTCAGCAGAAGAATTATCGTTGAACTTTTAAAATGTACGCTTAAATATTAATGCATTACTTAAATGCTGCGATCAATTTTGAGTTCTTCTGTAGTTTATTGTTGCCCATCGCATACGGCAGCAGTAGGCCTCGCAAGAAGAAATCTCCGCCAACAGAGGACTAGATTGCAGTCAAAAGAGCGAAGGTTGCTGTGAAGAGAAGAAAATTCCGTGCAAAGGAGAACCCAGATCAAATGGCAGCCAAGAGAGCTTCCAATACAGAGAACATGCAAAGACTCTTAAGCTCCTGAACAAGCCGAAGGCCCAATGAAGACCCCTCCGCAGGAGCTAGCTTAATTGCCGCCCGAGAGCCAACACACAATACATCAGACAATATGTATCGTGCGCTGCTCGACTATTTATATATGCTGGCCATTATAAGTAATAACATATATTGTAATATCTTAACGTTTATTGTGTAGGCGGTAATGGTCATATTCGAAATTAATATAGAGGCTATTGAGTAGAAACTAAATCTGAATTCCTTACCCATCGGCAAGGGTTATATATATATATATATATATATATATATATATATATATATATTGTTGAAACTTGACTAATGCATGGAATAATAATACAACACAAAATGTACTTAGAACAAAATGTATTGAAACAAGAAAGTGTACACAGTATTTACATATAGTCTTTTGTATATTCTTGGGAAGACCGTTCCTGGAGAATGGGTTGACTTAGTCGCAGTCGGGCAGAGTCTCTGGATTGGATCTCTTGATTCCTCCCCTCCTCTTCCCGGTACCAACCATATTTATATGGTCGGTACTCCACTATGCAAATTAGGTGGATCCTACCACAACATATATATATATATATATATATATATATATATATATATATATATATATATATATATATATATATATATGAGTACTTGAGCGATATCTGTTAGGATCTGAGAAATCTATTTTCCTGAAAAATTGTTTTAAGAGATTGAAAATATAAAGAAATGGTTAATATTAACATTTCCATTCAGAGCGATGATTCGATTTAATATATTAACTGCATCCACCTGCAAAGAAGATTAAAAATAATAGAAGCATTAATAATAATAAAAAAGAAAAAGCCAACAATATTAACTACGAACAAAGCCACTAGGTGCTAACCGTATTCGGAAACTAAAAACATCCCTACCACACACTAAGACATATACAGAACGCACACACTCAAGTAAGCTGAAAAATCGAATCATCCTTGATAATGGCTATATATATATATATATTTCTCTCTCCTTCTCTCTCTCTATCTCTCATTGCTGTGCCCTTCACGACATAAGTGCTTATGGTCTCCCACAACTTTCCGTTATTCCTCTTTGACTTTGAGGTATTTGTCCCTCTATCCATTTGCGCAATCTTCTTACGTTTTTCCTCGTTGCCGTCGATGTCTCTAGTGAGTGTTAAATTCTCCAAGCCTTCTTTCATTATGATGCATCCTAAATATTTCAGCAGTCTCTTTCTGGATGTTGTCGGTCCTGTTATCTTTAAAACATTTTCGTCTGCTGCATACCTCAATTATTTTTCATTCGTGAAGAAATTTTCTATCTTAAACGGCCAAGTCATTTGTTTTTTAAATTTTTTACTGAATTTCTAAATAAAATGTCTCTCGTTATCACTACGCCCCTTCGTCTTTCTGCGTTACACTTTTCTGTCGTCTGTTACTACACCTCCAAGATGATTACATTTGCTCACGCGTTTAATTTTGACATCCCCAATGTGTAACTCATATTTTGAGTTGACCCTTTTGCTCACTACTACGCATTGTTTACTCACAATAGTCAGTCCCTTGTTCTTTCTTTTCTCAACTACATTATGCTAGATCTTTTTATTCTCCTTATGTATCTGCCATCAGCACAGTGTCATTTGCGTATTGTACGTTCGCCTCTAATAAATCTTGGCAGGTATTTTAATTCTTTCACTGTAGAGGTTCTTTTTTTAAAATCCGATGAGAAACCATGTATTTGTTAGAATCCTCTGTCTATATTAGCGGAGTCACTTAATTCATTGTCCATACTAGTTGTTTGTTTCAAATACAAATTGTTGAGTGTTTGCATATCCTTTCCATGTAGATCAAGCTTCTTTAACATTTCAAAGTTTCTTCGTGCCGAAATTTATCGAATGCGTAATCTATGAAACACAGTTGCAGTTCTTTCACGTGTGCAAACGCCACCTATTGAAAAACGCTACAGACTTTTGTTCCAACCCAATATAGAAACACACCTTAGCATGCAGAAACGGTAGCTGATACGATTGTTATTTTCAGAGTGGTATTCCCCCAACTATGCGATAATCATCTTCAGTGAAGCGACAGTCAGTTTCAAAAACTCAGTATTGATTAGACATACAGCATTATTTGATTTCAAAGTGTGCCTTTTTTCGGGGAGGGGATATGCATTTTAATAAATTTCCATGAATTTTTCTCTATAAGGGCGCAATCTAATGACGGAGGGATTTCAATCCTGGTCATAAGAACTTTGCTTAGATCAAGAGATTCACCTTTGATTTTCAGATCAGCCTTCTTCAACGATCTGATAATAAGTGAACGATTTAAGCTGAAACATTAACTTCGGTGTACGCTGTACTAGTCCAGAACTAAATACAGGGTTCAACAGATCAAAACGCAATTATAATCTTTTGAAACACCGTCAAACCGATGGAAACGGACTCTAATAAAGTAATATTGAATTAAATTGTCGAAAAATTGATTTGCTCTTCGATCTGCCTCGAAATTAAAATTCCCTGTTCAATCTAAATCGGAAATTAAAATAGCCGATAAAATTTGCTTTCCGAAAATTTGATTCTTTCAACAAATATTTTGCCTTAGCATGTTTTCTTGGTTGGCGATTAATTGAAATAATAGTCTGACCGCCAAGATGATTAAAGTCATTTTCTGAACTTGAAGATGCTACGAGCTCCTTATTATCAGCTCAAATTGGGTCCCTTTTGTAATCAGCCTGATTCTTCTAAAATATTCAAAGTCCTTTGGATAGATAGATATTCTTTTTCTTTTATTCTTTCCTGTTTACAGATGAAGACAAATGGATTAGTAGTCGTTGTATTTGCGTTCGTTTCTGCACCAGTTTTTATTTCAATGCTCCCCCCCACACACACACTATTCATCCATAAAACATTGTGAAGCCAATATCGTTCAACTCAAAGATCTGAGATGATTGATCATAACACTTTCTAAATTCAATCAGAAGTTGAAAAAATATCGATCGAAATAAGAAAAGAGGCAAGCACCTTTGACTAGATAGATAGATAGATAGATAGATAGATAGATAGATAGATAGATAGATAGATAGGAACAGTTTCAGATAGATAGATAGATAGATAGATAGATAGATAGATAGATAGATAGATAGATAGGAACAGTTTCAGATAGATACATACATACACATATAAATATATAGAGAGAGAATGAAAAGGTTTAGATAGATAGATAGATAGATAGGAACAGTTTTAGATACATACATACATAGATAGATAGATAGATAGATAGATAGATAGATAGATAGATAGGAACAGTTTTAGATAGATACATACATACACATAAATATATAGAGAGAGAATGAAAAGGTTTAGATAGATAGATAGATAGATAGATAGATAGATAGATAGATAGATAGATAGATAACAGTCGTAGATTGATAGATGGATATATAGAGAATGAATAGTCTTAGATTGATAGAGAGAGAGAGAGAGAGAGAGAGAGAGAGAATGAAGAATTTTAGATAAATAGAATGAACAGTCTTAGATAATAAACTTTCTAAGATAGATAATGAACTGTCTTAGATAGATAGATAGATAGATAGATAGATAGATAGATAGATAGATAACCAAGAAAGGAAGAAAATTTAACATTTTGGCATCCTTCATATTTTCCCTGATTCTTTAAAACGCAATCTGTGTTAAGGATATCGTTACTTTTTTTTTACATAATTAATGATCTTTGAAATGGCATAAGAATTTTGACTGCATGAAATTTTCGGTCGGAGATTTGTCGACGTTCTGGCTTTCGGCGTTCAAGATTTCTGTTTATTTTTCAAACGGGAAGAAATTCATTTAACTTATTTTTCACCAAATAACCAAGCCTGTCAATTGCAGTGTTTGAGAAACACCTGATTTGCGTGCAACGAGGAACGGTGTGGTGGATGCATGAGAAGTGCTTCTTGTTATTACCGAGGCATTAATACTGCATCGGTGCCTATTAAAGCTGTCAAAGCGTCTGCAATTTCTATTAAGCTTGAGAATGCCATCAATTTTCATGAGCGAGAAATGCAGAAATGACATTGGTAAATATAGCTTGAAAAGAAAATAGTTTAACTTTTAGAATGTCGATGTTAAAATAACACTATTTACTACGACTACTCCGAAATGTGCTCCTCAAATGGCACCAGTCCTCTCCAAACGATATAACTATTTCCTCACTGAGTTTTCCTTTCCAGCCTGTTTGTTGGAAGTCCTCTTCGGTTGTTCCTTGTCTTTAAGAACTCTGGTGACCCATCTAACTACTGTCCTATATATCTCCTATCACACTTCGGCAAAGTCTTCGAGGCTTTAATCAACAATGAAACGGTTAAGGACCTTACATCCCATGATCAATGTTCGCTTTTATATTTACACACGCTCTATCTCTGATATTGAGCACTTTATCCCATAAATATAGCACACCTTAATATATATATATATATATATATATATATATATATATATATATATATATATATATATATATATATATAGTTAGTTAGTTAGTTAGTTAGTTTATGCAAAACTAGGTAATCCGTATGGGTAGACCCAAGGAGGATAATATCCAGAGAGCTCAATGTAAATTCAGAGCAAATAAATTTGAATAAAAACAGACCACTTTAAGGTTCCATGTAATAAGTTATTTCACCACAGCCCTTTTAAAGAGCTCTGGATCATCAGACTTTCTTTCATGTACTTTCTATGAATTTATTTTTAATTTATTACATGGAACCTTAAATTTGTTTGTTTTCATTAAAAAAAATATATATATATATATATATATATATATATATATATATATTATATATATTATTGACTAGCTTTTCGTACCCGAATATACCCGTCTGTTTGAACAGCTAACCAATTCCAGATTCATATGCCTGCTTAGGTACATTTGTGTATTTTCAACACCCAACTAAGTTAATGTTTCTGTGAGAGAGGACGTAATCTACCATAATCAACATTTTGAACAAGGCCAGTACACTCAAACTCTCGGTCACGATGACTTGTGACTTCTTGCTAAAACAACTGTCGACAAACAATTACGTCTACTCAATTTCAGTTTTCTATTTCCTTGCTGTTTCTGTTTTTCCTTTTACATTTCTTTTCTTTTTTTGTTTCTTTTTGAGTTTCTCTTTTTTATTTTCTTTCATTTCATTTTTTCTTCTCTTTTTTTCTTTTCCGTTTCTATTTTCTCATTTTTTTCTCTTTCCTTTTTTCTTTACTTTTCTCTTTTTTTCCACTCCGTCTCTCTAATCTTTTTTCTTTACTTTTCTTTCTTTTTTTTTTTTTTTTTTTCCTTTTTTCATTTTTTTCCCTTTTTATTTCTCTTTTTTTTTCTTTTCGTTTATCTTTACATTTTCTTTCCCGGTTCTCTTTTTTCCCTTTTCTGTTTCTCTTCTTTTTTTTTTCCTTTCCATTTCTCCAACACCCCCCACCCCCCCCCCCCTTTTTGGTCTTCTCCTCCCTTTCTATTTCTCTTTTCCTTCTTTAACATTTCGCCTTGCCACTTGTTCCTTTTCCTTACACACCTCCGTCAGAAAACATAAATCCATTTCGCCTCGGACTTTTGTGGTTCATTCTTAACATCTCTTGTTTTTCTCTCATCTTTCTCAACTTGATTTATTTCCATCTTCACAATTCTAATACTTATTTTATTCTGATTTCATATCATCTAAATTTATGGCGCTTGACGGTGGGGGGCGGGGCATAACGGCTTTCGGCACGGAGATCAACATGTAATATAATAGGTTTGACAGCCCCAATATCATAAAATGTGATTATTCATGGTACCAATGTGATAAAAATAGGTTTTTGCAAGACTGGTGAACTTCCTTCCTAACCCACCCAATTTTGTTTACTATTGACAGTTCCCACTTTGCTCTGATGTAGAATGAAGAGAGAGTAAAAGGTTAGACAGGAAACTATTTTTCCTTCAGTCAAACAAGGAAGCCATTTTGTCGTATTCCTTTCGATCCCATGGAAAAACGGAAGTATTTTCACACTTGTCCTCTTTCACTGTCCAAATACCACTCATTGGTAACTTTACATCCGCTACCACGGTCAAAGCCACGTGATCTTGATGCGTATTTAAGTCGTTGGACTAAATTACGTGCTTTGCCTTCATTCGATCACGTGTGTCAGTAACGTGTCTTTATCAATATACCACCATGACATTCGTTATTCGGTTTACATTGCTGAATGTTTTGCACAGTAAATAGTGTTCAAATCCCAGCTAACACAGTTCTCTCTGAACAAATGCCTTTAGCAAAGTTATAGGTTCACGTCTTTTTGACACTCAACCAGATAGTATCGAGATATGTCACGTTACTGGGATACCACGATAGTTGTTGAAAAATCCAGATTAAGCAGACTTCAACAAACGACTATAACAAAATTACCTTCAGGCGAACTACATTTCTTGATTCTACCAGTCCAGATCTTCACAGCTAGAACCTGTTGTGGAACAGACACCCGATAGGTTGCTTCCCCGATCACAACAATCAACCAATTCTTGTGTATGGATGTTATCTATCCTACAATATCATCATAATATGCATCCCGCGCTCCCTCTTTGTGCGCTCTTACAACAACTTCATTTATTAACCCGCTACCTTGAGTGGCTCTTGGGCCACGTATTGTTTGAAAAAAAACACTACTTGCTCTCATAAATAACTTACCCAGGGTTCAATAATAATATAAATATAAGATTACTCGCGAGGCCTGAATTAACGTCCCACCCCGGCAATTAATTATTAAAAATATCTATAACTTAATTTGATTTAAATGATTTTTATATATTTTAATTTTATTTGTTTCTACTATATTGTATTCTTTTGAATGGAGGCTTTCCGACCTTGAGAATCTCTCCACGATGAATTTGTCAGAAAGTTGACCTCCCGATGTTATCAACCTGGAGTAGGTTATTTCTCCTAACCCCCTCTCTCTCTCTCTCTCTCTCTCTCTCTCTAACTCTCTCTCTCTCTCTCTCTCTCTCTCTCTCTCTCTCTCTCTCTCTCTCTCTCTCTCTCTCTCTCTCTCTCTCTCTCTCTCTCTGTATAGATGCAGCCCTAACTCAAAGCGAACTGTTAGTATTCAACTGACGCAAATATGTCTGAGCAGGTGTCTGCAACTGGGATTATCTATGAATGCGCTCGAAAACGAATAGTCGCCTGTTATTATTATACGTGTCTATTTTATATAGAAATTATGATCATTAGGAATTAAAACAAAAACGGTTCCTATTGTAGATTGATGATTGGCACGTTCAACTCGCAGACATTTTTGGTGATAGAGGGCGTTCGAATCTTAGAATATCACATCATCCTGAAACAATATACAAGACAACAGAAAGCTTCGTAAATACAATGTAACTCTGATTATATACAGATGCCACTGCCATCCTGAATAATCTTGCAAATCACAAAGAACATATGTCCTATGCGACTTACGACTGTTCGACTTCACAAACCCATTGATATGTGTGGCCGTTTTGCAGCGACTGCTCCGGGTCTGGTAGCGTGGGTGTTTCCCAGATTGGCGAACGACAATTTTTGCCCCAGCTCCTTGCAGTGCTAGTATTCCCTCACGCGCCTGAAGTTCAGTGTTAGGTAGCTTCGGTACAATACACTTTCTTCCCCCTAGTCCGTTTGTGTCTTCGAAAGTTTTCTTAAAAAAAAAAAAAAAACAAGATGACTTCCAAGGTGAAATTGTCTTTATGTCCGCCTCAATATGCCAATACGGAAAGGAAGTCTATTGATTTCGGCACAAAAATGATTGCGATTAAACAGTTCTAAAGCTTCATTTTTTTTTACGTTTAGCAAATATTAAACCAACACTACCGTAGTTTGACTTCAACCTGACGAATTTAAAAATAAGTAACCAAAAGAATTTATAGAGGGCATCAAACGTAAAGAAACCGTAAAAAATACTTTTAAAAATACAATCATGCCTAAAGGAAGCTCATAAGCTGTCGACGACTTCTATTACTATATTCTCACCCTGAACCCCATGGTCGAGCGTCTGTAGGGCAGCGATTCAAAGCATTTTGCCTGTCTAAGTCATTAAATACTGCCACCTCACCGAGCTTTTGCGCCGCGCTCAACGCTGTTGCAAATTTTGAATTAAGACTAGACTGCTTACTCACCAAGTCTAGAGAGTTCAACCTACCTTGGTATTTAACCCATAGCTGGAGGGAGATGAGATATCTTTCCCAATGCAACTCTATCGCTATTTTCATAGTTAATATTCTTACGAGCTATATTCTTTAGTTCTTCCCGTTCAAACCTTCCTAGTTAAGACATGCCGTGCAACGTAGACTGGGACAAATACCCATTCTTTTCTTATTCCATTCATAAGAAGGAAGTTCCTTGCAGACAGCTTCTTCCTAAGAACCTGTACTTTGTAAAACAGACTCCCGAGGGGTTGCTTCCCAAATCGCTATAATCTTAACCTGTTCATGTCTGGTGACAACTGTTATCTTTCCTTCATGATTTCATAATCTGCACGTCTAACTTCCTTCTCTTAGGTTTATACAATAAACTCATTGCGCAACCCTCTAGCTTGGGCGGCTTTTGGGGTTTATATTAGTTACATATTTGAAGCAAATGGCTTAAGAATTGGGGCATAAAGTAAAAAAAGTAAAGAAATTAAAATGTAAATGAAAAAGAAAGAATGAATGAATGAATGAATTTGGGGCAAAAAGAAGGTACAGAAATTAAAATGTAAGAAAGAAAGAAAGAAAGAAAAAAAGAAAGAAAGAAAGGATTTGGGGCAAAAAGTAAAAAAGAAATTAAAATGTAAATGAGAAAAAAAGAAAGAAAGAAAGAAAGAAAGAAAGAAAGAAAGAAAGAAAGAAAATAAATAAATAAATAAATAAATTTCGGATAAAAAATAAAATAAAAAGTAAAGAAATGAAAATATAAATAAAAAAGGAAAGATAAAATAATTAGCTATTAGAGAAAAAGAAACGTAGTCGATAAGGAGGGAAGGAAGAAAGGAAGGAAGGAAAGAAACAAACAGACAAAGAAAAAATAAAGAGAGATTAAAATAATTATTTTACTAAGAAAGAAAAAGAAAGAAATAACAAACACGAAACGAAAAGTAATGAAAGTTCCAGACAAATAATTTTCTAAGAAAATGTTCTTTAAAAAAGTGACTACAACTATATAATAATAATAATAATAATAATAATAATAATAATAATAATAATAATAATAATATAACAATTTGCAACTATAATGCAAATATAATAACTATTTTTCTTTGGTAACCCGAAATAATATCGAACAGCACTTTACAGTAAATTCCTATCTTCCTCTCTAGTGCTAAATTCTAACTTGGGAACAAAACAATTTCAATAAAGGGGAGCTTTCTGTAAAACACTAATCCACAGTCGATGTTTTACAAGGTAAGGATATTTACTTGACCCACACCCACTGAGTCAGGTTGTGACACAATGTCAGTTTTTAACGTGGGGACAAGACAGTTTTCACTCAGGCCGCTGATCTATTATGGTCTTAGCTGGCCATAGCTTGTCCAAGCTAGTCAGAGCTGGTCTTGGCTTGTCATAGCTGGTTCAAAATGGTTAGAGCCGGTCCAAGCTGGTCAAAGCCGTGATCCCACCAGCCCAGGGACGAAACCCTGGGACAGGTAAGGATCATGTTTTGCAAGGTAAGTCTTCAAACTGTTCGATTATCACGCGCATTGCATGCCGGGAAATATGAATGAGAGCCGTTATCATTAACGACTATCTCGAAAGGGAGTTCGCATAAGCAGCTAAAAATATTTGTTTTTTATGAATATTTTTTCTTTGGACATCTTCAGTGTTGGTTTAAGATAATTTAATCGGTGATTCACATTGAGCGTTCTTGCAGCGCAAGCGAATAATTAGAATAATAGAATGCAAAACAATTAAATGAAAAACGTGGACCAATCAAAAGCGACAAAAGAGGAAGAAGATGAAAGAAAGAACGATGGGAAATATGCATGCAAATGAGTTAAGGAGTAAAACAAAAAAGAAATTAAAGCGTAGGAAGAATTGAACGAAATCGAAATAAATTGTTCAAAATATTAAAAACATAGATTAAATAATAATGAGTTATTAATCCAGGCAAATGTTTATTTGTTAAGAAAGAAAGAAAGAAAGAAAGAAAGAAAGAAAGAAAGAAAGAAAGAAAGAAAGAAAGTTTATCTAAGAATCAAGAAAAAATTGAAAGAGAGGCTAAGGAAAAGGTTTTTCTATTAAAGAAAAAACAATATAGAGAAATGTTTTTCTAAGAATTAAAAAACAAGAATGAAAAACTAAAAAGAAAGGAAACGGGAAAAGAGACCAAGGTAAAAATTTTTTTCTAAGAAATAAATAAAGAAAGAAAGATATAGTGAAATATTTTCTAAGAATGAAGAAAAAGAAGGAAAAACAAAAAAGAAAGAAAGAAAATTGAAAGAGACACAAAGAAAAGCTATTTTCTATAAACGAAATAACGAAAAAAGAAAGAAAAAGAAAGAAAGAAAATTGAAAGAGAGACCAAGAAAAGCTATTTTCTATAAACGAAATAAAGAAATAAATAAAGAAAGAAAGAAAGAAAGAAAGAAAGAAAGAAAGAAAGAAAGAAGGAAAGAAAGAAAGAAAGAAAGAAAGAAAGAGTGATCTAGAAAAATATTAGTAAAGAAAAAACGAAAAAGAAATACAAATATTTTTTCTAAGTAAGAAATACAAAATGAAAAATAGGAAAATGACATCTAGACTATAAATGAAAGAAAAATCTACAGAAATATTTTTGGAGAGAAAGAAAAATTAAAGACAAAAAATAAGGAAAAAGGAAAGAAAGATTTGAAAAATTATTTTTAAGAAATAAAGACAAATAGAAAAATACAAAACAAAGACGGAATGTGAGAAATATTTTCAAAGAAAGAAAGAAAGAAAGAAAGATCGAGAAATATCTTTCTAAAAAAAAGAAAGAAATAGACGGTGATCTAGGGAAATATTTTCTAAGGAGAAAAAAAAGGGAGAGAGTAGTGAAACATCAAGATAAATATTTTTCTGAAAGTCACAAAAATGAAAAAGAAGGAAAGACAAAGGAAGAATGAATTTCTTGAGAAATAAGTTTTTCGACGAAGCATGAAAACCGGAAGAGAAATAAAAAAGAAAATCGTTGGTCGAGGGGAAAGAAATCTTTTTGCACAGACAGAAAACAAAAATGGTCAGAGGATAAAAATGACCAAAAAAAAAAATTTTTAAAGCGATAAAGCGAAGTAAGAAAAATAGAATTGTAAAAGAGAAAATTATCAAGAGAAATCAATTCGCAAATTTCTATTGTGGCTTCTTTTTTTTAATACAAACGGTGAATTTTAATCTAAAAACAGAAATCATAAAATAAAGAACTTAAAAGAAATAATCTCATTTTGATTTTAGAAATTTTCCATTTATTCTTATTCGGGCGCAACAAAATTAACTCAATTTAGAATTGCCATCGAATATTCACAAACTTATGATTATTTTACATTCATTCACATATATTTTTTTTATTTATTTCTGACTGATTCTTTTTTTCTTTTTTGCTAGTCTTTCTATCTCGCCATACTAATTTTTAAGTTATTTCCATGTTTTTATCAGTCAGTTATGTGAGATACACGTTTAGGCAATCATGTATCTTTCGATACATGACTGACGAGGCGGATTTTTTTTCCCCGTAGTAGGTTGCCATTTCTTTCTGCGGTAGACCAGTTACCATCCAAGGCTATAGAACCCGGTCGGTCCTGCTATTTATGCTAGGGGAGAAGAAGAGGATTTATAACTTTCTCACGTAAGTGAATGTAATGGATTCGATTTAAATTCGAACTCGGCTCTCCGATTCCTCAATCCGAACCGTTATCCATTACACCACCGAGCCTCCATGTCTTTATACTTGTTCAAACATTTGACTGGAATTACTCGAAAAATTTTTCTCTACAAAATTTTTTATTCTTTTTTCTATCTTTCTTGCTTTCTTTCTTTTTTCAATTTTTTCTTTCTCTCTCAGAAAATATTTCTTTAGATTTGCCATTCTCAGTTTTTTTTTTCTTTTCTTAATTCTTTTTTCTTAGAAAAATTATTTCCCTGTATCTCTTTGACATTGTTTCTTTTCCTTTCTTTTATTGAAAAATATTTCTCTAAATCTCTCTAAATCTCTCTCTCTCTCTCCTTTTACTTACTTTCTTTTTCTTTTTCTTTCTGAGAAAAATATTTCTCTTTATCGCTTCTTTTCTGTTTTTCTTTTTCCATTTTTCTTTCTTAGTAAACGATTTCTCGAGATCTCAATTTCGTTTTTCATCATTTTTAATATTTCTTTTGTTTTAGAAAATATTTCTCTAGATGTCGCTTGTCTCTTCTTCTTTTTTTCCTTTGCGTCTTTCTTTCTTTCTTCGAAATATATTGATCTAGATCTTTTCTTTTACCTTTTTCAAATTCCTTTCCTAAATATTTTCTTGTTCTCTCCCGCCAATTTTTCTTTGTTTCTTTTTTATCCTTCCCTTCCCTCCATTAGAATGTCTGACGCTCAACTTCTCGAGAGCAACTCTCTGCGGCTTCTCCGTCTCAC